TTATTAGTAAAATTAAAAACTTTTATATAAAGAGAAAAATCTGTATTTTACTATATTTAATTAATAAATTTTAATATCACTGCATTATTTCTAATTGTTACTATATATTAATTATAATTTAAATATTATATTTGATAAAAAAATTTTTTTATTAATAACAAATTAATATATTTATATTTTTGTACCAAATTATATATAATTACAAATTATATATATATTATATTTAAATTAATTAGTTAATAATTTAATTATTTTTTATTTCTTTAATTATTTGTTAATAAATAAATAGTTTTTATTTAATTAATAATTTTATCTTAATTGCAAAATTATAGTTATTATTTAATCTTTTATTTTAATTATAAATTTATAATTGTTTGAATTAATAAAAAGAATTAGTAATAATATACTTATTTATAAATTATTGTCATTATTTACTATTTTTTGATCATATAATATGAAATATTATTAAATTTTGAGTGTTGTTTATTTATTTTTTAATTATAAATATTTATTTATTTATCTATTTAATTAAATAAGTAACTAACTTTATTCTTTTTATTCTTGATTTTAATTATTAATTCATTTAATTATTTAATATATTGACCTATTATAAATCATCATGCATATAAAATTTTGATAATAAAATATAGTAAAAGTTAAAATTTTCATTTTATAAAAATATTTTTATTTTAATTAATAAATATTTTTTGTTTTTATATCAAAATAAAGCTAAAAATCTATATTTTAATATAGATTTTTTAGATTTTATTTCATGAAATCTTTCTGATTGTAAAATATCTGCAAAAATTTTTTATAAGTAAAATTTAAATTTAATTATAAAAACTTTTTTATAATCAGAAGAATTTCATGAAATAAAATCTAAAAAATCTATAAAAAATTTATATTAAAATATAGATTTTTGATATAAAAACAAAAAATATTTATTAATTAAAATAAAAATATCTTTATAAAATAAAAATTTCAACTTTTACTATATTTTATTATCAAAATTTTATATGCATGATGATTTATAGTAGGTCAGTGTATGCCTTATTAGATAATTAACCCTAATTTTATATAACGAAATTTCTAATGCTTTGATAATACTACCTTGCTTTAGTGTTTCCCTTTTCAGTCGAGTAAACAAATCGTATAGAATAAAAATTATTTTTTCTGCACAAGCATAAAAAACTTGTCTTTTATTGTCATTATTATTATTAATTACAAAAATAATAATGCAAAAATAAAATAAAATAAATAACAAATATAATAAATAACAAAAAACCAAATCAAAGAGCATGATTTTGCTCTTCATTTATTGTGTTGGGCGAGGAAGAACTAATTGAAATATTAGAAAACTGATTGGTGACTGACACCAAATTTGGATTATTTGCATTGTTAGATACAGCTGTAGTTTCCCCTTTTTCGTGATTTATTTGTTGTTGGTCTTCAGTTAAACCTAGATTTTTCAATGCGGTCAAATCTGAAGGAGTAGCATGATGACGAGAACCGCGTTTGAATCGACGTACAGCATCCATCTGTCAAATTTAAGATAATTAATAAAATTACAAGGTAATCAATAAATGATATTCAAGATATTTTTGTATTTCATACCACATAAAAAATGGAACCAATACTCTTAATCGCAGAATTATATTCTTGTTCTGTGATTTCTGTTACGAGATCTGTACAATTTTCTTCGGTTGAGATCATTGGATTTTTGCCATGTTCCGTGACCCATGGATGTTCCTATTATTATTATTAATTTTTTATTCATAGCTAAATTAACCAAACGAATAAAAATAATAAAATGATCAAAAACACAAACCCTGAGTTGTGCCATCGTAATTCGTGTATTTGGATCTTTGTCCAATAGCTTTGTTAATAAGTCTGCTAGATCTGCATCTGTTTCCGGGGGAATCACCAGGCTTATTTATTCAAAAAGTAAACAATAAATAAATAAATAATTAATTAATTAATTGACTAGTTGAAATTACAATAAAAATGCATATACACTCACGTATCCTCCTTAATCGATACATATAAATCAATTAAATTATCTTTTTCGAATGGTAAATATCCAAAAGTCATGCAGTATAATGTTACGCCCATTGACCATAAATCTGTGGCTTTTCCAGAGACTTCTCCGTGTTGAACTAAATTAAATATGGAACGATTAGTCGATTAATAATTGCGTTAGTGATCAAAAAAATATTAAGACAAAGTCACCTTGACATAATTCCTGGAATATTAAAGAAGAGAATACACATAATTCAAAAAATCCACAACCAAATAAGTAAAAATCGATGAAACCCAATCACAGCCAACTAAATAGCGATTAAAATAGAAACAAGAGCAAAAACGACGACTCACAGGTGCCATAAACGCTGGACTACCAGCCGATTTCTTAGTTTTGTCATTTCCTTTGACAAATATTTCTGAAACTCCAAAATCTACAATTTTAAGTACGTCATCTTTTGAGAGTAAAAGATTGTCGGGCTTTATGTCTACAGAAAATTGTAAGTGTGATGAATAAAAAATTTCAAGAAATAATACAAAATAAATCATTAGATACCTCGATGAACTATATCATTTTCATGTACTAAACAGAAAAAGAATTTCAATTATTGGTTTATCAAATTGAACAAGAACAAATAGATAATTATATTACTACCACTTACAATACTCAAACCCAAGAATCATATCCCGAAAGTATTGTCGCAATTTATCTTCTTGGAAAGGTGTTGATTTCTTACGGATATTGATATCCATTAAAACACCCTTTTCGCACATTTCAAAAACTACCAAAAATATTAACAATTCAATAAATTAATTAATTAAATTTTAATACCAAAAAAAATATCATCATATCATCATACCCACCCATATAAAGAGAATCGTTATTAGGATCATCCATAACCTCATATAATTTTACCACATTCGGATGATTCAGTTTTTTCAAAATGGCAACTTCGACTCTAATCAAATATAAAGGATTAGAAGTATCGACATTATCTTTGGGTGGAGGCATAGGTGCACCACGTCGACCTCCCCGCCAGGCGCCCCGTGAGCGACGATATGCGTTGGATTTATCTTTTTTTCGAAGTCGTGCTTTACTGAATTCTTTAATTGCCTTTTTTATTCATAAAATAAAAAAATAGATTTTGTATCAAACTCGAGAACAATTCCTTTTCTTCTCAATTAATCGTTGTTTAATGTTTATATGTATGCATTATATTAATCGATGACGATGATGATATCTCAAGATGAAATTATTTAGCAGAGTACTTACGCAAGAACCAACAAAAAACAATCAAAAAATAATAATTCTCAACCCCGTACATTCCATACCCAAAAATGAAATGACTAAGAATTCATACATAATTAGTTCCGGTATCTTTATCGGTAGCCAAATTAACAGTCCCATACGCGCCATGTCCAATAACTTCTTTTAAAATGTAATTGTTTAAGCAACGTTCACCATCCTTGGTTTCGGTGACGATAGCATTCAAATTCGTCTTAACCTCATGTTTTACCGATTCACGTCGATGTGGGATACTCGTAGTACGTCCAGTAGACTCAGTACTAGTGGGTGAGGTGGTTGTCGTTGTGGTGGAAGAGAAGGAAGTAGTAGGAGTAGAAGCAGCCGACATTTCTGTTATAATTCGTATGCACTTATGTTTTCCAATGGCAGATTTATTTTATTTCGAAACTGTGTAACGGAAAAATTTCCATTTTCCTTATCTAATTAGGAAGTTACTATGGCATCTTTATTGGAAATTTAAATTTATTGATCTTTAATAATACCAGGCAAAATTATGAATTTTTTTTGGTCTTCAACCAAATTTTAGATGTTAATTATATTTTTCATATTTTAAAAATATAATTATAAAAGATTTGATTAGTATAAAAAGTAATTTTATTAATAGGTAATTGCTTAATAATAAGTATAAAAAAGTTTGATTTCAAAATTATTCTGATTAAATAGTGATTGTTATCTGTTAAAATAAATTATTATCTTTAATATAAAAATAAAAACCTTTTATATATAAAGAAAGTTTGAATTTTTACTATATTTTTATTAAATTTAAATGATATTATTTATTTATTACTTCTATATTTCTAAATAAGACATTTTTTCTGTTTATAAAAATATTTATGATGTTTTAAACATGTTAATGTAATTAGACTGATACGCGAAAATAGTTATCCAATCATAATTTATTTTTTTTTTGAATTTACTCAGCAAGTGATAATTCTACAACATAGATAAACCCTCACCAAATAGTTTATTTGATGTGTCTTATTTTATATTTAACAATAACTACGAAAAATTAAATTATATAAAGATTACAAGCCACAAAAGACAATTATATAAGTTTTACTACACGGTTAATCAATCAACCTTTATACTTTTGAATATTCTTCTAATGAATACCAAACACGCGAGATACCCAATCGTCCCTAAATAAAAACAATAGTAATCATCATCATTATTATTAATGAAAACGAAGATAAAAATGAAAATGTCAGAAATATCAATATTCTCACCTGTCAAAACGAAAAACATCAAACTCATGACGAATGTCCATCCAAAGTATATGACTGCACTCGTGAATGATGTGATATGTAGTTTTGTAATGAAATACATTATTGAGTAAAGGAAGATGTATATTCCCGAAGCGCCAGATGTCAAAAATGCTCGCCATGACCAATGATAGTCCTATTAAAAAATCAATTAATTAATTAATATATTTTATATACAGAAAAAAGATATAGCGATCATATATGCGTTACACATACCTCAGCACATAAGTGGAAATAGCACAAGAGAATAGTAACTTCCGAGCAAGTGATCGTCAAAACAACAAACACTAACGACGAAAATCCAAACAGATAATACACTTTACTACCCCAAATACTACTCATGATAAAGTAAAGTTCAATAAAGATTGCGCCAAACGGGAGAACACCGCCCATCAACAATGATGGAATAGGGCGCAGATAAAATACTTGATCAGGAATTTGTCGTGGTATTTGGTTGGTTCGAACTGGATGTTCTATTCTCTTTAAAGAAAAAGAATAAAATTTTTTTATTATTAATGTTCCTTCAACTAATTTTCACTATCAGAGAATAAACAAATACCGGTTTTTTAAATCCGAAAAATGAGCCAATGAGACTTAGAGGAACTGATATTAAAAACCATAATGCTATTATGATAAATAAAGTGGGAGCTGGTACGGCGCCAGAAGATTTCACGGAAACGAGGAAAAAGTTTAAAAAGACAAAGATTGAGAAAATGAGTCTAGGAAAAAAAAAAGAACAAAGATTTAGTTAATAGAGATGTTATTTATGTTATATTAGATTAGATTAGATTAGAATAGAATAGAATAGAATAGAATTAAAAAAGATATATATTTACAAAGGAAAAAGGAAAGCAGTCAAGAAGACATTTTTACGCCACGACTCGCCGCCAAACATTTTGTAAACACGGGCTGATACATAGCCTGATACACTTGCAAATAGCATATATAGTATTATCATGACAGTAGCAAGGGATCCACGGTTTGACGGTGATAGAAAACCGAGAACAGCAAACACTAATAATGTATAACTATATTAGTACATTGTAAATTACTAACATTAATGTAAAATAAAAAAAAAGAAGTCTCACCCAAAGTCACAGCAGTCATAAAAAATAATTGTGCTCCACTACCCAATAAAACAGCCAATAACATAGTATTAGTCGGTGGTCGAAATACATCACCGTGGACTAACTTCCAACCAAAATCTTCTTGTACATCTTCCTAAAATATAATAAGTATTAATAATAGTCTATGTAAATAAAGAATAAAAAATAATGAATTTACCTGAGCATCAATTTGATTATATCTGGAAATATCTTTATGCAGGGCACGAAGCAATATCATTGCGACCATACCGGTCAAAAATAGTACAATTACTATCGAATTCACTAAACTAAACCAATGAATTTTTGGATCAAACACATGCAAATAACTATCCCAACGTGTTGCCCAAGCTTTATCTGATGGCTGACACATTGTATTAGTGAATAAATTAATATTATTTCAAAAGATTAAAAGTCAAATTAATTAATTTACGTACTGCCCACTCTACGTCATAAGTATAAACTATAGTATTATCTGTATTCTCATTCAATGTTAATTGTTCTTTAGTTTCGCAATTTGTTTCATTTTTGCTTAGTGTTGTTTTTTTACTATAGAAAATCGATAAATGGATAAATTAATAGAATGAAAAGAAGTTACTGTTATTAAATTATTTTTTATTACCTTTTTGGCGTAACCAATACACCCACAACTCTATAATGAATGTTGTCTTGGGTATGATACTCGATTTTTATTTGATAATGATTATATAATTGTGGTCTGGTCTGATGATTTTGTTGATCGCCCAATTCAAAACCGATACTATAAAATTGTTCGCCCGATCTGGGATCTGTTTTCGATCTAGCAGCTGGTAATGAATCAATAAGCCAATTTATTGCGTAATTCTCACGGATTCTATCATTAATGAATTTGGCATCTTTTTGGGGAACAGTTACTTGACATAAAACTGAACAATGTTGTTCTTGCAACATACGAAGCTAAAAAATTGAGATAAATATAATTTATATTAATTGTTATTAGATGTATAACAATGACAACCATTAATTACCTCATAAGGTGAATTAAAGATACGATCACCGAATAAAATACTTCCTAACGATTCAGATTGTCCTTCCTTTACCGTCGGTAGACAGAAATGTAATTGTTCATGATAATAATCATATGGTATAACAGATTTTAATTGTTGTGTATTAGGTCCAATAATTGGTGTTAAAGAATTTACTACTAGTTCAACGGGATCTCCTTCTCTGTAATCATGGGGTGCTACACCAGGTAGGTAGAAAGCCGTAGCATTGCCCACAAAGGCAAAGAACAGTAAGATGAATGAGAACATGATTGAGCCTCTCCTCAAGACCATTATCATGAAACTTAGAAGGTTAGGAGAGGTGCAGAAGATATCTTTATGGTTTATTATTTGATTACTAAAAATGAAATGACAATAGCCCGAGAATCTAAATGAAAGTATAATTTCTTATATGAAATAAATAAGATGCAGATATAATTTCTTGATTGATTTTTTATATTGGCTTCTTTTATATACATATTTATCAATGATCGATATTGGGGCTCAACACATCGACACGTGATCACAACAAGACACATTACATAATAAAACATGACAGCCAATTATATTTTACATTGCGAATCACCTTTAAGAAATTATCGATCCTACTACTATTAATGAATTCGGGAAGTCTACGGACAGTGCATAGGGACAGTGCAAAATCATGTGATCTTTCCGGCCAAGTGCCGGACAGTGCTTA